GGTGGAGGGACAACAAAGGAGAGGAAGACCCTTTATGAGATGGATTGATCTAGTTACTGGAGTAACGAAGGTGGGTGTGTCGGAGACAGTGCGATTGGCACAGGATAGAGCAGGGTTTACGGCTGTTGTACATATAAGGTCGCTATGAGTCGCAGGTGACTCGACAGCACATAACAATAACTCCTGTCCATGTCTGCACTCATAAATGTACTTTCAAACCTTTGAAATAGTTTTACATATAGGTTATAAGCTCACATATTTATGAATACTCATTATTCCGGCCATTGTTTGGCTTTAATATGGATAATTATGATTAAACTTGACTTGATGCAATATTATTTTATAGTACTTGTGGGTTTGTTGGATTCTTTTTTTCTTCTTAATCATTTACTGCTTATCTTTTACTCAATTTATGTACATATTTTTTTTCCATACAATATTTTCCAGTAGATGTAAGACAAAAATCTGCAGATTTAAGAGGAAATGACAAAGCATTACTTTTTTCTTCACTGATTGCTGATTATTAACATCAATGTTTTTTTCTCCCTCATCCTTTCTCACTGATTGTCACTGCAAGCATCAGCACACTTAAGCCTCCTGAAGCTGACAGAATTAATGTTGGCTGCATTGAGATAAGGATTTTAGTGGTCTCTATTAGAAATTGTGGCAATGATCACCCAATGTTGCACGCTATCTACTATTTCTCTTTATTTTTTTGGGAGAAAATGCTGATTCTCTAATACAGGCTTTGAAAATATTGCCAAGATCTTTCCACCAGAGCAGTACAGAGTAGTCCTACTATTCTTGTTTTCTTAATGAACTATCAATGCATTCCAAAAGTGCACTTGAAACTGTATCTCTGTGTAGGGGAGTTGACTAGAATTAAAAGACAAGCCCAAGTTCCTGACGTTACCCACAAAATACTCAATTTTTTAACTTTTTTGCGTGAAAAACCCCAGTAAGTTTATATATTCTAACTCTTTATCATATACATATAGTAAATTGCTGTATATGATACAGATCAACCACCCAAGCCTCTCAGCTCCAGTCATTTATGTAGAAACTACTGCAGGTGAGTGGGCATCAGTTCTCTCTGGAATTCATACCGGCTAAATATTACATGGCTGAGTGGCCAGCCATGGGGAATAGACAACCCTCTCTATTGACTTTCTGCACTAGCTTTTTGTGCCATTTTAGAGTAAAATATATGTTAAAGGGAAGTATGTGAGAAGAAAGATTACATTTTCACCCATACTGTTACTGGGGGAAATACTGTTATTTGGAAAATGTAAAAATTGGCCATATTTTGCTTAATTTCTAAATAAATTGCAACTGGTTATGAATGAGAGCTTTAGATCTGTGGCAAAATATTTTCTATATGTCGAGAGTATGAAAATACATTTTTAGAGTTTCTCCAAATTATATCTAAACTAATCAGTGTAGTATATTTCAATTTATTTTTGCACACTAGATTAAGTTTACAGATAAAAGGAGTGGTTTATAAAAGTGATTTTGCCGTTCAGGGTTTATTAATTATATCATCAGTGGACACTGTAAAATCAGTTTTGAGATTTACAAATAACAAAAAATAATACAGTAATAAACCAAGAGATATCACATTTCAATTCCTTCTGGAGCACTCACTTATGCTGTCTTATGCCATAAGCTCATGTTTTCATCTGGCTTAAGCTCTGGTGGCTTAGTAGTAAGGAGTTGCACTGCCAACCCAAATGCACAGGTTCAAATCCACCAGCTGCTCCACAGGAGAGATATGCTCAGTCTCCTCTCACGTGATTAAGTGCTTCTGAAAACTTACCAGAGAGTCAGCTGTGTGTTGGTTCTCACTCCAAAGCACTTAACAACAATGCTGTAAGTATTTATTCAATGTTTTCTATGCTGTTATTAGATGCTGTTGAGTTGAACACAACTCATAGTGACCCTATGAACCAGAGGTTTGAACCCTGTTCTATCCTGTGCCATCTTCACAATCTCTGACATATTTGAGTCCATTGCTGTGTCAACTCATCTGGTTGAGTGTCCTCTTTCACCATCCTTCTACCTTTCCAAACATGATATCCCTTTCCAATGAAAACCTCTCTTAACATGTCCCAAGTATGAGAAATAAAGATCACCATCCTTCCCTTTAAGGAGCACTCTGGCTGCACCCTCTCCAAGACATATGTATTTTGTTCTTTCGGCAGTCCATGGGATATTCGATACTCTCCTCCAACACCACAACTCAAAGGCATTGATTTTTCCATCATCCTTATTCACTGTCCAGCTCTCAGATGCACAGCAAGTGACGGAAAAGACCATGGCCCGAGTAAACCATTTTGGAGAGGTCCCTGGTAGCAGACTAGTCCACAGTAATACGACTGGTCACAGAGACTCTACATATTACAAAAAGAAATTGCTCAGTCCTGTGACATCCTCATATTTAGTTGTGAGTAAGAACAATGTAGTTTATATCGTTTTCACTGACTTAATAGATTTCCAAGTCTTTCTTCGAGACTATTATTAGTCTAGATGCTCCACTGAAAGCTGTTCAATGGCAAAGCAAATTGAAAGCCTCTAATGAGAAAAGGATAATGGTTATGTATGAGGGACATTGGCCTAGAATGAAACCCAGAGTTTTTGGGTAGAAAGTGAGAATTCTTTGCACAGAACCAGCACTATCTCTCTTTCATGTGATATCATGATGGACAGAATATAATTCCTGTCCTCAAGGTACTCCCTGTATTGACTTGTTAATCACTGCATCTCTTCTGCAATGATTAAAAGCATATTTTCCTTCACACTGTATTTACCAGTATTTTTACTGCTAATTTCTCTCTCCTGAGTCATAAATTCTTTAGCAGCAAACAGTGTAGTTTGCTTCAGGAAAATTAAATTGCCAATCTGATAGCATTTATTTTTTTGCAATATCTTTGAAATGGTTTTCTTTTTGTTTCCATTACTTTCTCAGGTTTAGTCAACATTCAGTACTTCAGGCTGAAGGCATGCTATGATCTCTTTACTGGTCTTTTTCCTCAGCCTCATTTCACCCCAATTCATCTTGACACCTAAATCTCATTCTTATTTCAGTGTAAATCTAAAATCCTATTTCCACTGGAATATTTATCTGGCCACTGCCAATGTCACTTATCTCTCTGAACTGTGGGTTTGTATCAGTACTATTCATTTTAGCAGAATATATCATTTTACTGGGTAATTGTTTTGTGTGCACACTTCTGTCTCCCCAGTGCTGCAGAAAGCTCCTGCAAGACAGAAGCCAGTATTTGACAAGGAAACAAAACCTATAAAATAGGGAAACAACAACCTCTTCAACAAAGTTGGAAAAATGGAACATCTATGTGCGAAAAACTGAAACAAAAGCCACATATCATACCATACACAACAATCAATTCAAAGTGCATTAGACAGCTAACAATAAAAGTTAAAACTATAAGGATCATAAGAGAGAAAATGTGCCCAAACTTAGAAGCCCTTGTCTATGGCATAAATGAGCTTGCAAATATAGCCAGAAATGCACAATCAGGAAAGGATAAATTTATGAATAAGGCCTTCTAAAAATCAAGTCTCTGTGTGCATTGAAAACTTTTCCCATTAGGTTAAAAAGAATGCCTACAAATCAGAAAAAAAACAAACAACAACCCAACATTTCCCAATGACATTTTGGCAAGGGTCTCATGATGAACATTTACAGACTATTAGAGGGTTTTGACAAGAAAAATACTGATATCTCAATAAAAAAATGGGCAAAAGACATGAAAGACTTATTACAAAGGCATTCAGATGGTCAATAGACACATGAAGAAATGTTCAACCAGAGAAAGAGAAAAATGCATATCAAACAGCATTGAGTTACCATCTTATACAAGTAGGTGTGGCAAAGTTAACACAACGGTAAACAATAAATAATAAATGTTGGTGAAGACGTAGAGAAACTAGAACTCTCTTGCATTGCTGGTGGGATTAATTACATCTGGTACAACAACTCTGGAAGACAATTTGGCATTTACTCAAAAAGCTTAACACAGAATAAGACCCAGATATCCAGTGCTAAGAAAATACCACATGGAAATTAAAACTGAGACAAAGAATGAAGATATGTACACCTATGTTCATGGTAGTGTTATTTACAATAGTAAGAAAATGGAAACAACCCAATGCCAATCAATAAATGAGTGAGAAATTTGTCTCAAAAATGGGGAAATTGTGGTGCAATCATACAACGGAATACTATGTAACTACAAACACAATCATTACATAAAATACTATATGACATGGGCAAATCTAGAGATCATTATGCTGAGTTAACTCAGTCTCATAAGGACAAATGTTGCATAAGGCCATTACTGTAAATGAAGAAAAGAAACTGAGCAAGGTGTGTATAAATGCTCAAAGGGTAAAGGGGTTAAGGGAGAATGAAGTGTAAAAACAGGAAGGAGAGGACTCACTAGGACAGCAGAAGTTAGAGAGCAGATGGAGGGTGAAGGAATAGGAAAGGTTCAAAGGGGATTTGAAAAGACCAGGTAATGACAGACATAAAGCAACAGTAATTAACTATAAAAATACCATGTCTATGAATGATTGTATAAAACACAGTATACATGAATAAAACAATGTAAATCAAAGATTATTTCATTTAACAATATATATGAAACATAATATACATGCACATATCACAATGTATATGAGTTCTTGTTTGCAAACCAATAAAAATATTAGGGAAGCCATGTTTTAGGAGCTCTGATGAGCACGCCATGTGACTGAGTGTTGTGAGTGACTTGTTAAGGTGGTTATAAAATAAAGCCCCTTGAAACATCAAACACAGTGATATGCAAACACTACCAATTCAATATTGTATTATGAAGATCTTCTCTAGGATCTCATAGGCGGGGAAAGGCCCATTTAAAAATGCTAATAAGAATCTGTAGTAGTTTTCAATATAGAATCTTTATCTTAGTTAAATGTAATTGTCAAGATAAGTTACTTACCAAGGCAAATTTTTTATTGAGAATCATCTGTTCCACCAATGATGACTCATTATGGAAAAGGTGGGGCTGCATATGGCTCCACATATGAGGAAACCACCAGAACTCATCAACAGACCCCAATAGACAGTCATCTCCTTCATCTTCATCTTCAGTTCCTTCAGGAGGGAAAAAAAAGTAGGTTATTCAACTAATTCTGTTAGTTACCTATCTACTCTTCTCTGTGCACTTAAAATACACCACATACATCATTATAAATATCTATCAGATTTTGAACATAAAATGTAGCCAAGGAAAATCTGCTGGTTGGAGAACAACCAGAGAAGAGTATCTTTTTAAAAACTGTTATTAAACATGAGAAATGAATATAAAATCAATGAGATAAGGAAATGCATAACCACCTTCCCCCCAGGACATTAGAGCTTTAACTTTCAGTATCATTGCACATTGTCATTTTGAACAGACCATTACACTCTACTGGATAATTCAAGGAAACATATTGTTTTTAGAAAATATGAGATGAATAGAAAAAAATAATGATACAATGAGTGAAATGTGTGTTATAGGCCAATAGAAATTAATTTTGCCATGTTTGCGTATACAGTCATAATTTATAATCATATAGTCCTTTATTTGTGTTCTTTAATTTTATTTTAGATTTGAAAAGAGTTTACTCTTAGATTTGAGAAGAGCCTATTTGGAGGAAATGAAGGCATGCATAGAGTCCCTACACAGTTAACACGCTAAGCAAAAGGCTGGATGTTCAAGTCCACTCAGCGGTGATTCTTAAGAGAGGTTGGCAAACTACTGCTACTAAAAAAAAAAAAAAAGAAAAAACCAAAACCAAACAAACGAAACAACAAAAAAACCCAGGTGCTGAAAACTTCACAAAATGCAGATTTGTACACCACTGTTCATAGTAGTGTTATTCACAATTGTGAGAACATAGAAACAGCCCAGACATCCAACCACAATTGAATGGATTGAGAAACTGGTACTTTCACATAATAGAAGACTACACAGCACTCAGGAGCAATGATTTGGAAAAAGAGCTACATAAATTGGGAGATACAGGAGAGCATTATGCTGAGTGAACTAAATCAATCACAATGACAAATACTGTATATGGTCATTATTGTAAAAACAGAATAATAACTACTAAAACATACATGAGGAGTCGAGGCTGGGAATTGATGGGAGCAAAGGGGTAAGAATGGGTAGGGGTAAAACCACAGGGTTTCACAATTTGGTGGGTGGAGGGTGGGTTGTGAAATAAATGGGAAGGATCTGGCAGAGACCTGAAAAGACAGGGCAATGATAGGCAAGGTCCAATAGTGATTAATTTTATGAAAAGTAACGCATGAGGAGATTTGGGGTCAAGATTGGTGGAAGATCAATCAACAATCTGCATTACGCAGATGATACAACCCTGCTTGCTGAAACTGAACAGGACCTGAGGCGCTTGCTGAAGAGGGTCAAGGTCTGCAGCCTTCAATATGGATTGAGGCTCAATGTCAAGAAGACAAAGATTCTCACCACTGGACCAACTGGGAGCATCAGGATGGATGGTAAAGCGATTGAGATTGTACACAGCTTTAGTTTGCTTGGCTCCAGGGTAAACACCCTTGGCACCAGCAGCCCAGAAATTAAAAGATGTATTGCCATGGGAAAGTAGGATGTTAGGGACCTCTCCAAAGTTCTGAAGAGCAATGGTGTCTCTCTGGAGACTAAGGTGCGTCTATACAGGCCATGGTCTTTGCAATCACTTGTTATGTATCAGAGAGTTGAACAGTGACTAAAGAGGATAGAAGGACAATTGATGCCTTTGAGCTGTGGTGCTGGAGAAGAGTATTGAGAATACCATGGACTGCTAGGAAAACAAACAGATTCATCCTGGAGAGGGTTAAACCGGGTGGCTCCTTGGAGGCAAGGATGCTCTATCTAACATACTCTGGACATTTTGTAAGGAGAGACTGGTCCTTGTAGAGGGACATCATGCTTAGGAGGGTGGAGGGACAGTGCAGGAGGGGAAGGGCCCTCTATGAGGTGGATTGACTCAGTGACTAGAGTAATCAGGATGGGAGTGACAGAGACAGTGAGATTGGCACAGGACAAAGCAGCGTTCAGACTGTTGTACAGAGGGTCGCTATGAGTCACAAGCAACTCGACGGCACATAACAGCAACAACAACAATGCATGGGAATGATCATATAAAACATAATGTGAATGAAGAATAGTGTGAGACACAATGTATATAAACTTTTTAAACAAACCAACACAAAATAAAATTTTAAAAATGGGGGGGAGTGATGGATAGAGAGAAGAAGCTGAAAAGTGGTAAGTCATAGTAAAACAATCATAGTTGTCCTTTTTCTCAAGTTCTTGTCAGTACACCCTTACTCCATCCACTAGCAAATTTCCATTTTCTTAGGTGTCAGCCCTGTTCTTGTTCCCATCATTTTTCACACCTAGGTTTGTTTCATTTCTCCAATGGATCTCTATAAAGCTCAAAAGAGTATATAAACACTTGTTTAAAAACTAAGGAGTGGGTGATCTAAACTTCAGTATTTTCAGTTGCTTCATATGCAATGTTGGACAATATCTAGTTCTTGTTTCTTTCTTGGCATACCTTCATATGACATAAATCACCACAAAATTATGTAACCACATTTATATTTCAGCCACAAAGCCACAACACTGAATCCAATAAACTAAAGCAGAAGAGTCTGCACATTATTCCCTTCTGTTTCTTTTCGAAAAATCTATTCTTACATTTTCAAAGCCAGCTCATATGTAACTGGTTGTTGTAGTATTCTTCAGTTTAAAGACTGTGGATAGAAGGCTGTCTTGGGCCAGGCAATAATGCCAATTCCTATTATTAACAGCTTTAATTTGGCTTTACAATCCACATGCTTGGAACCAGTAGCCAGGAAATTCAAAGATAAATCGCACTGGGAAAATCTGCCATCAAAGACCTCTCCAAAGTACTAAAGAGCAATGATGTCAGTCTGGAGATTAGGGTGTAACTGATGCAGGCCATAACCTTTGCAATTATGTGCTATGCAACCTGGACAAGGACTAGGGATGATAGAAGGCGAATTAATGCTTTTGAGCTACGGTGCTTCAGATTATTGGATATACTACAGACTGCTAGGAGAACAAAAACGTTCATCCTAGAGAAGATGAAAACAGGCTGCTCCTTGGAGGCAAGGATTCTAGTTTCATCTGACATACTTTGGACATGTTGCAAGGAGGCACCAGTAATTGGAGAGGGACGTCATATGCTTGGGAGGGTGGAGGGACAGCTCAAGAGAGGAAGACCCTGGATGAGATGGACTGATTCAGTTAATGTGGTTATGGGGATAGGTGTATCTGAGATAATAAGTTTGGCATAGGATAGAGCAGGGTTTAGGTCTGTGGTACACAGGATCGCTCCTAGTCAACATAAACAGCAACTATTCTCTCATTCAATTTTCCCAGAGAAGGCAGGCAAATCCTAATGACAGGAAAATAATTAGGTCTCTTGATTTATTGGACAATGAAAGAGATTTGCTGAAGTATTTAGTAGGAGGCTTCACAATCATTCCACTGTATACAGGAAACAGGAATTGCATGATGTGCAATGCGTCAAATAACATAATTTTTCAATTATGGCAGTTCCAAATTTCACTATCATCTGCTAAAGCATACTGATGATATGAAACAACTACAACAACAAAAACAAATGCTTCTCCCTTCTTTAGAAAGGTTGTTGTTATGTGCCGTGACGTCACCTGTGTCTCACAGTGACCCTATGTACAACAGCCTTAAACCCTATTCTATCCCTTGCCAATCTTATTGTCTCCAACACATCTATCCCCATTACCCCAGTGACTGAATCAATACATCTCATGGAGGTCCTTCCTCTCCTGCACCCCCCCAGGCAAGATGTCCCTCTCCAAGGACTGATCCTGCCTTGCAACGTGTAAAAATTATGTCAAAGTTTCAGAATCCTTGCCTCCAAGGAGCAGCCCAGCTTCACCCTCTCCAGGACAAACTTGTTTATCCTCCTAGCAATCCTTGGTATATTCCATTCACTTCTCCAGCACAACAGCTCAAAGGCATCAACTCTCCTTCTATCATCCCTCGTCACTGTCCAGCCCTCTGATGCATAGCAAGTACTTGCAAAGACCATAACCTGTATCATGCACACCTTAGTTTCCAGACTGACATCGTTGCTCTTCAGTACTTTGGAGAGGTCTCTGACAGCAGACTTTCCCAATACAATTAATCTTTTAATTTCCTGGCTGCCGGTATCAAGATTGTTGATTATAAAGCCAAGCATACTGAAGCTGTCTACAATCTCAATCTCTTCACCATCTATCATCTTGCTGCCAGTGTGCCCAGTGGTGAGAATCTTTGTTTTCTTGATGGTGAGAATCACACTTGTTTAGAAAAACAGTTCAAATATATTGAAATATCCAAATAAATGAAAATTTCTGATGCTAGAGACTAGTTATCCCATTATACTGTGGCAACATGAATATACAATAGAGAATTAAGAGAAGTCTAAACATAATGGATTTTATACTTCCTAGGAAATATATAGAGAATTAAAAGAAGTTTAAACATAACAGATTTCCTTTCTAATGGAAAATATAAAATCTATTATGTTTAGACCTCTCATTATTCTCTATTATATACTCTTGTTGCCACAATATAGTGGGATAACTAGTCTTTGGAGTCAGAAATTTCATTTATTTGGATATTTCAATATATTTAAACTGTGTATCTAGATAAGTGTGCTTTATAGCCTCGCATATCCAATGGAAGGTCAGCTATAAGTTAGTTCTGACTCAACAGCAGTGAGTGATTCAAATGCAAGATATTCTTCTATTACTTAAAATTGTGTGTCTGACAAGATATCATATTAGGAGGAATTATAGTTTTGCAGTAAGACCAAGTTGTTACGATCTTACATGCCCAAAATGAGACCAGCAGATTGGGGTGACAGGAGACATGAGTAACGGGGAGGGAACAGATATAGTGTGAAAAATAACGTACACTAACTTTCTAAGTCAATCAGTGTAAAATAAAAACCAAACAAATGGAAACTTGAACACCAATAGTCATAGCAGCAGTATTCACCATCGCAAGAACATGGAAACAGCCCAGACGT